AGTCCCAGCTACTTGGGAGGCTGAGGCAGGAGACTCGCTTGAGCCCAGGAGTTGGAGGTTGCTATGAGCTGTGATGCCATGGCACTCTACCCAGGGGGATAGCTTGAGGCTCCATCTCAAAAAAAAAAAAATGCACCTATTTTCTGATAATTGATATTGGACACATCCCTGTTCATTTCCTAGTGCAATATCTTGTTTTCAAAGTATCAGCCAATTTGTATTGCTATTAGTCTATGATAATTTTAGCATTTTTCTTATAAATTTTATGTTCTATTCAAATAACAAAGAAATTATCTGTATCTCTATTAATGTAAATTTGTCTTTTATTTTGCATATTTTTCTTTCTAAGGTTACTTTACCTCAATGTCCTTAAATTAAAAAGGCAGGAGTTAAACAAACCAATAAAAGATATTTTGTTAAATATTATTCACATGTTTAACGTAATCAAATTTATTTATCTGGTCCTGTAAGATTTCTTGGTTTTAACATGACAGAATCTCTGAAAAATCCTCTACATCAGACTTGTGACCCCTTGATACACCTATGTAATGATTTTCCTTCTCATAGAGAACAGACTAAATTTTGCTAGAATTTAATAAATCCCTGAGTAAATTGCTAAGTGATATTTAATATCCTGATCTAAAATTGAGATTTAGATCTTAGTGTCATATCCAAATATTTTTACACTAGTAGGTCATGCCAAATGAGAATGATCTCTATCTCTTTTGAAAATGAGATATTAATTCAAAACATTTTCCAACTACTCTCATAAATTAGAAATTTCTGGTCACATGTGAAAGAATGTTCACAATTTCTTCAATATTCTGAAGAAACTGATTGTTCTGGCACAGTAATCACAGACTTGAGCAACTGAAACCCTTTTTATTTAAGCCTTGCTATGAACAGGTATATGTATTTCTAAAATATATCAATATTTCTTCTTTCTTCATTGACTAGACTATTCAATAAAATAAATTTCTTCCTTAATGATTCATTCTGGACATTAGTTTTCATTGCACAATTCTACGGATATAAATGCCAAGTATAAAGAAAAAAAAAAAACAGATTGTAGGCTGAATCTCAGAGTTCACTTTAAGAGTTGCTAGCTTTGGCTCGGCGCCTATGGCTCAAGTGGCTAAGGCACCAGCCATGTGCACCCAAGGTGGCAGGTTGGAATCCAGCCCAGGCCCGCCAAAACAACAATGACGGCTGCAACCAAAAAATAGCTGGGCATTGTGGTGGGCACCTGTGGTCCCAGCTACTTGGGAGGCAGAGGCAGGAGACTTGCTTGAGCCCAGGAGTTGGAAGTTGCTGTGAGCTATGATGCCACAGCACTCTACCCAGGGGGACAACTTGAAGCTCTGTCTCAAAAAAATAAAAAAGGAAAAATAAGAAGGGAAGAGAAGCCCTATTTGTAGTGAGGTGAAGAGGGAAGGTGTTACTCATGAAGGCCCCAGGAGCTACACCAGCTGGGAAACAGTCCCTGCACGCCTGGGTACAGCTGGTGCAATAGTGCACAGCAACCATCTATCTGCTTTCCTGTCCCTTGGCTTCTCTTCTTCACTTTTCATCCCAGCACCACCATCCCCATCCTACCCCTGACCCCTCTTTGTCTCAAAACTTCTTTGTTTTTCCCAAAGTCAGCTTTAGAGAATAAGGAGGGCTAACAGGGAGAAGCAAGTATATTTTCAAGTTTCTTTATCCTTATGTCCCTTTTTTCAAAGAAAATGTAGCACAAACACATTGAACTCATTGATTTCCCCTTCAGCAAAGCCAGAGGGCATCAGGTTCTGTGTTTACAGTCTAATTAAGTTCTTCAGACAGAAAAGATAGGAAGTTGGTGCAAATTTCAGGCAAAAAATGATAAGGCCTTGGACTATGGCAATGACCAGGAAGACAAAGAAGGGTAACTGATGCAAGTTTAAAAGCACTAAGACAAATTCCCATGTAGGAACAATAAAGACTGGCATAAAACCAGCTGTCTCAAAGATGAGAGCATCGTAGAAACAGACACCCCTATTGTGCTTACATATATCTATAACCACACAATACTGTCTCTTGGCTCAATAGATTGGGAGCTTTTTATCCAGAAAACAACTTTTATTCAATGTTTTAATTTGAACTCCTAGTTTATTACCTACAGCAGTGGTTCTCAACCTTCTTAATGCCTCCCAATCCACGACTCTTTAATATAGTTCCTCATGTTGTGGTGACCCCCAACCATAACATTATTTTCATTGCTACTTCATAACTGTAATTTTGCTACTGTTATGAATCATAGTGTAAACACCTGATATGCAGGATGTATTTTCATTGTTACATCGAGCCCCACAGGATGAAAACCACTAACCTAGAGGATGGTAAAGCCAGTAAGTAGATTCCACTTTCACCTCCTTTTGGAAGGAGCTGCAGACACATTGCAAAGCACGTGATTATATGAAACACAGGGCACCAACAAGTTCTCTTGTGAGTTCTTGTTCTCAGTGATGCAAAGAATTGAACACAGACCAGGAAAATCAGCAAAGAATTTTTACTGATAGACAAAGAAAAGCTCCAGCAAGGAGGGGTGGTTGAAAGAAACAACACACCACCTTCTAAAGCTAATTCTATACTTACATATGTTCTTTTAAACTCTGGCAATGTCCAGCTTGTCCCATGCAGTCTTTCCTTAACCTACCAACCACTGGGACTGACCCTTTATCCCTGGACCATTACCTAACCACAGCCTGTTCCCTCACAGTCACACAAAGATGACGGACGGTTGATGTCAAGAAACTTGGAATGTATGTTGAAACTGCCCTGGTGGCTATATCATTAATTTTAATATAATATGCAGGGGGAAAAAGGAAACTAAAATAGAAGAAGAAGAGTTGCAGCATATATTTATGCTATGCTATGCTGTTCAGGTCATATAAAGGACAGGCATTTTTAAAATGGAGTCACTTTGGTCATTTCTAACTTTGTGTTGAATAGGGCACCATGGCCTAACCCTTCAGTAGGAAACAGTGAATTGCGGCCGTGAATTTCAGAATATGGTAGGTGTAGCTGAATTAAGACATTTAAGCCTAGAAATATCTTCAACATTAGATTTGAAAGCTAAGAAACAAAATTTTAAATATAAAATAAAATAATTGGACTATGACTTAGTAGTTCATATAAATGAACTGTTCATATAAAGAAAATACACAAAGTAAAACATTTTCAATATAAAATACCAATTATCAAATCAGATTATACTCAAAATTAATTTTCAGATTTTGTTGCATATTAACCTCAGTTTTTCTGCATTACATGTAAACAATAAAATAGGCAGTCTAATGCAAAGTGTTCTGCTATGTACACTACAAGTATTTAATAAGGTATTTTTGTTTGGAAAAAAAATTTAAGAAGAAGAGTTGTATTTCTCTCTAGTTCCTAATAAGTAGCCACTGATTTGAAATATACAGTAATTCCCTCCTATCTGTAGTGTTGCTTTCCTCAGTTTTAGTTCCTGCAGCCAACTGTGATCCAAAAATATTAAATAGAAAATTCCAGAAATGAACAGTTCACAAGTTCTAAATTGCACGCTGTTCTGAGTAGCTGATGGAATACTGAACTGTTCCACTTCATCCCATCCCTTTGACCAGTGTATATGCTGCCTGCCCATCGGTGACTCAATAGCCCTGGAGGTTGTCATCTCACATCATCACAAAAAGAAGAGGAAAACAAGACCCTGTCTGGAAGAAGAAGATATGGAGGAGGAGAAAAAGAGGAGAAGGGAAAGGAAAAAGAGAGAAAAGGGAGGAGAAAAAAAAGGAAGAAGATGGAGAAGGAAGAAGAAATAAAAAAAGAAGGAAGAAGCAGCCCTGCACTGTGGTTCACCCCTGTTATCCCAGCACTTTAGAAGGACAGGAGTGAGGATCTTGTGAATCACTTGAGGCCAGAGTTTAAGACCAGCTGGAACAAGACCCTCACTTGGCTCTTCTAAAAACATAAAAATGAGAGGGCATGGTGGTGCCAGGCCAGTAGTCCTAGCTACTCAGGAGTATGTGGCGAGAGGAGCTTCAGCCTAGTAGTCTGAGATTGCAGTGAGCTATGAGGACGATGCCACTGCACTCCCACCAGGGTGACAGTGAGACCTTGTCTCAAAACGAATAAAAAAAGGGGTGTGTGTGTAAATACCCTACAATAAGATATTAAGAGAAACATCACATTCGTTTAATTTTTATTACAGTAAATTGTCCTAATTGTTCTATTTTATTAGTTATTGTTAGTCTGTTACTGTGCCTAATTTATAAGTTAAACTTTATCATAGGTATGTTAGAAGGAAAGAACAAAGTTCATACAGAGTTCAGTAGATCCGCAGTTTCAGGCATCTATGGGGCAGGCGGGTGGGTAGGCTAGAATGTCTTGCAATCCTATCAAATAAGGAGGACTAGCGTACCTTGCGTCTCCATTTTTTAATATTACCACGACGTAGGGAGCAATCTAGCCAGCAGTTCTTTAACCTTATACAAGTGTTGTTTTCCCACCCGTAACGCCGTTCCTGCCCCCCAAATACCCTTAATCTAGTAGGACTACTCAGTTGTCCATCACTATCTTTTGGAAAATTTCCCCACTACCCACACTCTACAGTTGGCTTAGATGTTCCTGTGCTATTTCGTTGCGTTCGTCAAGCTGTACAGCAATTCTTTGTCTCTTCCATTGGATTGTGAATGCTTCCAGGAACAATAATGGACTTCATCTTAATCTTCCTCCCACAGGGAAAAGGATGGCATACAGTTAAGGCATCCCACAGATGAATCAACAGGAAGTGCAATGGCCGATGAGGGAACAATTTACACTTATGTAAGATAATGAAACCGGCTTCAGAAGTCACTCATCTATTACGGAAAAAATCATATAGAAGTAAGATACACCCCTTCGCGACTCAAATCCGCTACGCCCCGAAAGGAGCTTCGCTTTCCGGCAAGCCTCGAGAGTAGCACAGCAGATGCCGTAAAAGAGGGCAAGGCCTTGGTGACGATCAAGCTTTGCGGCAGGGTCCGGGCGGGAAAGTTCCCGGCTGTCGGTTGGAGGAGAATCGTCGCCCCGCCCTGCCCCTTCGGACGGACATGCCTCGCTCCTGGGAGGCGTGTTCCAGTCTGTCGGACCCAGCGCTGGACGCCTGTTAAGATCTTACTCCCCGTCGCCAGTTAAGTGCCATGGAGGCGGCGGTGGAGGCAGAAGTTGAAAATGAGGACGGCGTCAGCAGCTGCGCAGATGTATGCTTCATGGACAAAGGCCTGCGGAGGTAAAGGGCGCTCCGCAGTCCGGAGCGGCCCGCGCACCCACAAGCCTGGGACTGTGGGCGGCGGGCGGCCTCAGCGGAGCGGAGGGGCATCCCTGCTTTGCCAGCCAGGACCGTACACGAACACAGTCTGGCTTTGGGCCGCCGTGCGCCACCAAAAGTGCTCTGTCCAGGTGCCAGATTGAATAAGCCCTGCGTTCCTTCCCGCCCTCGTCTGCTGCCTGGCGTTTCCCACGGCTCTGCTTAACATTGAAACTGCCCCCCTCTCCATCCCTGACCACTCTTGCTTTTGCTGTTTTTTCTTTCTTAACTGGTTATTATTTTCTTGTTTGTCCCCCCGCCTCCATTTTGGCAGTAAAATCAACTTTATTTGGCCACTGTGTCCAATTCCTTTAATTGTTGATTTCGTGTTCTTTCGTCTCTCCTCTGCTTCTCCTACCCTGAAAAAAGCATTCACTGCTCCTCATTAGTTTTCTTCCCCCCATTCTAATGTTTTTTATATAGCACTACAATGCATGTGTTCATATAGTTTTTGAAAGTACTAAATATAGCATGAACAACTAAATATAGCATAAATAACTAAATATTTAGTTTGCCGTTTTCCTGTCTTAAGCAGCCCGAACTTGTGAATGGCACATGAGATTATTTGTTCTGAATTTCTGATTGTTCTCTGCCTGTCTTTTCTGTCTCTTTAGTCGACTCCTACCATTTCTCCCATTAATGCTCTGAGATTAACTGTGTTGAACTACAGACAGTTTCGTAGTCAGGTTCTCTGTGCCTTTGCACATGCTGTTCCTTTGTAGAGTGCCCCCTTCTGTGCTAACCTTGCTACTGATAAGTAATCTTGTTCTGGATTCTGATCTGAAATTTGCCATATGAACCCAAGAAAATGTTTTTCAGAGGATTATTTATATTTAATAATTGCTGCCGTTTACCGAATGTGTATAATATACATTATCACTAATCACAGCAATTCTGCAAGGTAGTAATTTTTCTCCATTTACAAGTTATGAATCTGAGACCCCAAATCTAAATAATTTGCCCCGCTGCTTGCAGTTGGTGACTGATTAAGTTCAGATTCAAAGCTGTTTACGTCTAATCACTGCTATTTGTACTATCCTACATTATCTGCACTATATTTATTTCCAGAAAGTGACACATGTCAGAAAATAAGTGGTTATCATTAAGAGCATGTGTTGATAGCATAAATAAGTCTGGCACTAAGTAAGCTTAGTAAAGGACAGAAGCTAGATAATTAGGAAATGCTTCAGTGTTTCACTTTTAGAGGTTGGCTGGTATGAAATTTGCAAATAATTCCCCACTGATATGGTTATGTTTCCCATGCTTAGATATAGCTGCTACAGAACCTAAAAATTGTGTGTCCCTATTCCTGACTGTGGCTCCATCCAACACACCTAAACATTGGGTTTCCCTGTTCCTGACTGTAGCTTCATCCAGCACATCTACACTATGTGTTCCTGAAGCTACTACCTTGAGGAGAGGCTTGAATTTATAGATAGTAACTGAGGGAGTAAAGAAATTAGTTCTATGTAGAGGAGGTGCATTCTAACTTTCAACAAGGAAAGTCAGGAAGTTTTTCACTAGAAATAGCAATAAGCAGGGCTTTCTTTGAAAAATCAGCTACAATGTGGATTAAATAGCCAGGCAGACAGTGAAGAAGATAAAGTTACAAGCTCCAGCATAAGATCTGGCCTTATACTTGGGTTCTGTTAACATAATAACTGCAAGAATTTGGGGAAGTTATTTAATTTCCATAAACTTGAGTTTTCTTCTGATAACCTACTGCTTAGAGTTATTTTTAAGAATTAAATAAGGGCTAGGCGCCTATAGCTCAACCGGCTAAGGCGCCAGCCACGTACACCTAAGTTGGCGGGTTCGAATCCCCAGCCCGGACCGCCAAACAACAATGACGGCTGCAACCAAAAAATAGCCGGGCGTTGTGGCGGGCGCCTGTGGTCCCAGCTACTTGGGAGGTGGAGGCAGGAGACTCGCTTGAGCCCAGGAGTTGGAGGTTGCTGTGAGCTGTAATGCCACGGCACTCTACCCAGGGGGACAGCTTGAGGCTCTGTCTCAAAAAAAAAAAAAAAAGAATTAAATAAGATACGGAAACTGAGGCTTAGAAATGTTATTTGCTCAGGTAGCACAGCAAAAAAAGTGGTACAGATTTTAGTTGGGGTATTAGTATTCTAGAGTCTTTACAATTATTAACTGCTATGCAATACTGCTATTCACTCTATGCTGATGATTTTGCAAATAGAAGCTAGAAATACCTGCAGCCAGAATGGTTTCTTTTTGGCATAAATGGTCCAGAATACTGGTTTGTGTGGTAAGAAGCACTGTTTTAGTATGAGACAATTTCAAAGCAACCATAAATAAGGATTTCATTCTGAAATGAATAGGGTACATTTATTATCTACATGCTGTTTGGTTAATTTTATTCTACCATGCTTTTAAAATCAGTTTTTTACTTGTTTTTTATAATATCTATGTTATTTTGTAGCATATCAGAATTATCTTTAGATTCAGCCCTTCATGCCATCAATCTTCATTGCAATAACATCTCCAAGATCAAAGCCATTGATCATATTTGGAATTTACAACATTTAGATCTGTCATCTAATCAAATAAGTCAAATTGAAGGGCTATGCACGCTGACGAAACTACGCACTTTAAATTTGTCCTGCAATTTGATCACAAGAATAGAAGGTTTGTAAGTGACTTTCATATAATACTTAGCATAAAGAAGATGATTTAAGTCCATTTTTCTTCCCAAAAGACTGGAATAAGTATTAGAATAAACTTTTGAAAACTGACCCTAGATCTCATTATAGACAATGTCTTCCAGGGGCGGTGCTTGTGGTTCAAGGAGTAGGGCACTGGCCTCATATATCGGAGGTGGCAGGTTCAAACCTAGCCCAGCCAAAAACTGCAAAAAAAAAAAAAAAAAAAAAAAGAAAAGAAAATGTCTTCTGGAAAAATCTCAATTTTTCAATAAACTAAATATTTTTTTCAAAATACCAATAAAATTGACTTCACTATTATGAGACTAGATTTGCTTCAAAATAGTCTGAAATAATATTGTAATGCTATATCTCTCTAAGTCTTTAAATCCTACAAAGACTTTATTTTCTTTTATTTTAGGACTTGAAGAACTAATAAATCTGACTAAACTAAATTTATCTTATAACAACATAAATGATCTTAGCGGTAAGTACATATGCTTGTGTTTGCTGTAATGCTGAATGTTTGTCACATGTGATGAGTTAGCTCAGCATGTTGGAAATCTCTGAATAGTAACCTATACTTTCTGACTGTTTAACTAGAGAGTGTGCTTCAGTCATAGTTTTATTTTTTTGGTGCCAAAGCCACAGCTGAGTAAAAACAGTAGGAAAAACTTGGGTGAGAAAGACCCATTTAAGGGAAAATGTTTTAATCTTATATAATTAATCAATGTGCTGTTACATAGAGTGGAGTAGTTTCAATAGTACTTTCTACAGTGGTGAAAATAAATGTTTTACATTTGTGCTGACTGGTATGCCAGGCAGTAGCTCAGTATGGCTGTTGAGCACCTGAAGTGTGGCTAGTGCAACTTAAGGACTGAATTTATAATTTTATTTAATTTTAATTACATTTTAAGTATAAAAAGCCACATATAGTTAGAGGCTACTGTGTTCAACAGTAAGTTATGTGACATTTCAAAGGCTGTTTAAAAATTAAGGAACAAATAAAGTTATTTTTTCTGTCTTTGGTATAGCTAAGAAGATTTAACTGTTTTTAATTGATTAAGGTGATAGAATTGATAAATTTAGCAACATTTTGTGACTATTAGAATTCTGTTCAAACTAGCCAAATTCCTCTAATTATCTTTATAATCTTTATCAATATTCAGAATAGTTTTATTCATTTGTTAAGTTGTTTCTCTCCCATACTAGAAAAATACTACCCTATGCCAGCTGCTTAGCCTACCAAAAATACAAAGACCTAGTCTGTACCTTTAAACTAGGGGTCCTCAAACTTTTTAAACAGGTGGCCAGTTCACTGTCCCTCAGACCGTTGGAGGGCCAGACTGTGGGCTCCCGGACGAGTCAGCTGCTAAACAGGATAGTCCTCAGTGGGCCGCATGTGGCCTGCAGGCTATAGTTTGAGGATGCCTGCTTTAAACTGAAGTAGCAACTATATATATATATTTTTTTTTTTTTTTTTTTTTTTTGAGACAGAGCCTCAAGCTGTCCCCCTGGGTAGAGTGCCATGGCATTACAGCTCATAGCAACCTCCAACTCCTGGGCTCAAGCGAGTCTCCTGCCTCCGCCTCCCAAGTAGCTGGGACCACAGGCGCCTGCCACAACGCCCGGCTATTTTTTGGTTGCAGCCGTCATTGTTGTTTGGCGGGTCCAGGCTGGGGATTCGAACCCGCCACCTTAGGTGTACGTGGCTGGCGCCTTAGCCGGTTGAGCTATAGGCGCCGAGCCGTATATTTTAATTTTTTAAAACTTTTGTTACTCCAAAGACATGAAAGCATGAGAGGAGTTTCACCCTTAGTCCTGTCATTGCTGTGTAATGTTGAGCAAGATATTTTACTTTTTGGATGAGGTTTTCTTATCTAAAAAATGTGACTATTGGATAAGGTAGTTCATTATCTCAGCAAATATTTATGAAAGATCACTCTACCAAATGTTGTTCTATAATGATGAGCAAATAACAACAATAAACAGAAAATCACAGGGCTTACATTATAGTGGGTAAGAAGAACAAGTAAACAAATAAGATCATATCAACCCCTCCCCCAAAGTAAGCACAGATTTGAGCAGACACCTTACCAAGAAAATATACAAATGACAAATAAGCACATGAAAAATATGTTAATCATTCTTAGTGATTAAGGAAATGCAAATTAAGACCACTTCACACCTAAAATAGCTAAAACATTTTAAAGCTGGCAAAGTGCTGGTAAGATTGTGGAACAACTAAAACTTACATAAGTTGCCAGTAAAATTTAAAATGGTACAGTTTCTTATAATGGCAAACTTAAATATAATCATGCAATCCTATTCCTGGGTATTTATTCAGACATATTAAAACATGTCCTCACAAAGACCTGTATGTGTATATTCATGTGATGTGTTAATATTGTTGCGTTTTATATGACCACGTTTATGATAACTCATAACCTCTGAAAAATTGGAATCAACCTGTATGTCCAACAACTGGATAAAGAAATTGCACTACATCCATACAATGGAATACTACTTGGAAATAAGGAATGAACAATGGCACATGCAGCAACACAGATACATCTAAAGAGAATTATGCTAAAACAAAGAAGCCAGACTCAAAAGGCTACTCTATATGATTCCAGTTATGACATTCTGACAAAGACAAAGATAGAGAAGCAGAAATCAAAAATTATTGGTTACTAGCAGCTGGAGATGGGGAGAAAATATTTATTTATTATATGAGAGAACCTTTTGGTAATGGAAATGTTCTGTATTTCAATTGCAGTGGTAGTTACAACTCCATATATTTTTTAAAATGCATCAAATTCTACACCTAAAATGGGTGGATTTTAGTAACTTAATATCAGAAAACGATAAAGATTATGATGAAAATAAAAGGCAACCCTGTAAGTTCTATACTTATTAGAATGATGATTTATAAATTCATAAATACATCAGTAAATGGTAGCAACTTAGATGATAAGAACATGCCAAGACTAAGGCAGTATCAAGTTTGCCATGTAAGAAAGGTTTGTTTTTAAAGATCATTTTGGCCACTGAGTGGAGAGTTGATTTGATGTGGTTGGGAATGGGAGTCCAGTGCAGTGTACAAAGGCCTTGTCCACAGCAGCTGCAGCTGAAGTCTTTGTGGGCCAGACACCAGTAGCATCTGCTACCAAATGCTCAAATAAGCTCAGACAGGAAATATTCCCAGAGAACTAAATTAAATGAGTGCTATTTGTATTTATTTTATATTCAAACCAACAAAGTTGAATTGGACTACAGCGTTCTGTTTATGTCTGCTAATCAAAAATGATGTGTTGAGAGAGCCTAAAGGCACTGCTTCAAGCTTGTTCTCAGATAAGTACGTGCATTGAGTGGGAAGGTTCTTTCAATTTGTTTTGTCTTGTAGAAAGTCAGAGCATAGGAAACCTCAGGGCTACGACCTCAAAGAAATGCTAAGCCTGTGTTTCTTCAGAATAATAATTACCTTTACCGTTACTATATTCATTAGATGTATCTGTTATTAATAACAGCAGGCTCTTATTAATGTTACTCTTTGACCTCTTACAGTATCACTTATGTAACAATTATTTTTAGTTAGCTATCAAAAAGACTACTGCAGTGGCATCTAAAAATTTTTTTCCTTATTACAGGGTTGATCCCCCTTCATGGAATTAAGCATAAACTTAAATACATAGACCTACATAGTAATTGTATAGATAGTATTCATCACTTACTTCAGTGTATGGTAGGATTGCACTTTTTGACCAATCTCATTTTGGAAAAAGATGGAGAGGCCAATCCTGTCTGTCATCTACCAGGTATGAACAATTAGTACTTTTTGTAACAGTTAAAAGCTGCTTTATTTTCTGAAATTGGTGTTTATAACCTCCTTTGATTTAAGTCTTAAACTTTGTAATGTTGTATTATGTTTTGGGGAAACAATTTATTAAGAGAAACTAAATTGCTTTTCAAAGAACACAGGATGAACAGATCAGTAGTTCTCCTATTTAAATAGTTTTATATTTGGTAAGTAAACACCTCAAAATTAGATCATTATGATATATATTCTAATATAACATATGCAACCATAAAAAAATAGACTATTTTTACTAATGGACATCTTCAAGATATATTAAGAGAAAGAAAAGCAAATTGAAAAGTAGTACATGTCATAGGCTACCATTTCTGTCAAAAGCGTAGCATAGAGTGAAAACATCTAGAAAAATATATCAAAAAACTAATATTATTGACTAACTGCAGGAAAGGGAACTGGGTACCAAGATCAAGTAATGTTGGGAAAACATACTGTATATCTTTTGAATTTTATACTGTTTGAATTTATTATATTATTGATTTTTTTAAAGCTTCAGGTTAACACAGGGTGTCCTTAAAGTTCATGTTACAATTTACTATGTTAAAGTATTTTAAATTGCATATCAACTTTATGTCCACCCTGTATATATAGATGATGCTGCTGAAATGCTCTTTGATCTAATTTAGAATCAATCACATAAGCAAAGGTAAAGCAGACTAGGCTGTTTTTAGAATTTGCATATCTTATATTGCTTATACTGTAAGAGAGAAATGTGTAGAATATGAATATGCATTTAAAGATGTGCATGGAACATCCCAGGAACTTAAATAGCCTACAGTAGGAAGGGGAAAAAAATCTGCTTGGGTTCGGGTTCATTACAGAAGTTCAATTTTGTTATTCACATGCAGCTAGAAAAAAGGCTTTTCACAATATAAAAACTTGTTTTGATAATTTTATTTCACAGGAGAAAATAATAGTCAAGAATTAGTTTCTTAAGATCAGGACAGGTGTGAGATTTCTGGGGAAACCTTTTTCTTAGAAGAAAACTTTATTTCTAAATTTCTTATTTTTCTTTTCTTTGCTAACCCTTTGGCTAGATTTTTTTTCCTAACAAATTTGTCTCAACCTCTAGTTTCTACAATTTGAATTGTTATTTTCACTTTCTTTTCTAAATTAGATAATGTGGTAACCCTCCCTCCAGAATTGAGAGAAAACTTATTCCTAAAATAACTTATCTTTGAAAATTCCTAATACTAATTTGCCAGACTTCTTTCCTTCTTTTTGGAGTTCTTCTAACCACTCCATTGGTCCATTGGTCTTTCTGAGAAGTATTTAGGTGTTTGTGGGTTTTTGGGGGTTTTTTGTATTTTTTTTTTTTTTTTTTTTTTGAGACGAGAGTCTCACTATGTCACCCTCAGTGGAGTGCCGATGGTGACAGAGCAACCTCAAATTCTTTTGGGCTTAAGCAGTTCTCTTGCATCAGCCTCCCAAGTAGCTGAGGCAAGAGACTACAGGTGCCCACAATAACACGCAGCTATTTTTTTGTTGTAATTGTCACTGCTGTTTGGCAGGCCTCAGCAGGGTTCCAACCCGCCAGCTCCCGTGTATGTGGCTGGCACCCCACCCACTGAGAGCTGAAATATTTAGTTTTAAAATTACATTTAAGAAAAATTAAAGTGTTTTTTTTACCTTAAATACCAATGTACTATTAATTTGTCAGATTTCACATATTTAATTACTCTTAGGGAAAATAAACACATTTCTTTTTTTGTAATATCCAAACACCAACTCAAACCAGAAAAACATATTCTTTACTACTTGGTAAATAACCTGTCTTAATATTAGTTATATGTAATTTAAAGGAAAATGTTGTACTAATGCTTGACACCTCATTAGGGAAATTCGGGCACTTTGATCATTATTCACATCATCCTGCTTTGTGATTATTTGCAATATTTATGTTTATACTATTCATATTAAAAATAAAAGATTAGCTTACACAATTATACTTCTATTTAGCTAACCAATTGTACTTGGTTAGCTTACACAATTGTACTTGTTTCATGCATTTATAACTTTAATATTTTTTTTTTGGAGACAGACCCTCACTTTGTTGCCCTTGGTAGACTGTCGTGGTATCATATCTCTCAGCAACCTCAGACTCTTAGTCTCAAGCAGTTCTCTTGCCTCCGCCTCTCCAGTAGCTGGGACTACAGGTGCCTGCCATAACACTCAGCTATTTTTAGAGATGGGGTTACACTCTTGCTCAGGCTGGTCTCAAGCCCCTGAGCTCAGACAGTCCACCCGCCTCAGCCTCCCAGAGTGCTAGGATTACAGTGCCATGGTGGCCAGCCATAACTTTAAATTTTTAAAGTTAACTTTTAGACTTTGATTAGGAAGGTTATTTGGGAGGAGTGGAGAGAGTGTTGTTGTTGTTGTTGTTATTTTAATTTAATTATTGGATGCTGAAGAGTTGAATAAGTAGCATTTGTTACAAGTTTATTGGTGTTTTCTTGAACTAATTATATCATTCATGTGATGTATCTAGTAGCTGATAAGTTTAGTTTGTTCTAGAAATAACCTTTTCCTTTAATGTTTAAATTTTCATTTTGAATGTTTTCAAGGGTACAGAGCAGTTATTCTCCAGACTTTGCCACAACTTAGAATCCTAGATTGTAAGAACATATTTGGTGAACCAGTAAATATGGCAGAAATAAATTCATCACACCTACAGTGCTTAGAAGGTCTTTTGGATAATTTAGTTTCTTCTGATTCTCCCCAAAATATAAGTGAAGACGAGGTATAGTATTGATTTTTTTCCTAATATAAAAGATACCAAATTTTAATTAATAAGTGAATGGAAATTAAAAGGATTTTGGTTTGTTTCTGTGTCATAGATCATTGATAATATGCCAGTGGTAACAGCACCTGACAGTGAGTTAGCTCATTTGGAGCAGTTTGCAAGTTCACCAGCAGATACTGATATGCCATCTTTTATATCTGGGTGTCCATCTTCTGAGCCAGAAAAAGTTAATCATGAAACTGATTTTCAGAGTGATAAGAAACTTCAGAATCTAGATGATCGATTTTTACAGCTTCTCGATGAAGTAACTATTTTTCCTACTTTTCTAAAATAATATATGTTTATTGAAGAAAAAAAGAGTTAAAACATGTAAAATAAAAATTATGTATAAGCTAACCAACCAGAAACAATCTATATTGAATGCATCAATATGTGCATTTTTGTTTTCTTTTACAGAAATAGGATTTTATTACAGTAGTAGTGGTAGAAAAAGGTAACATACATTTTTCATTTGTTTCCTTGTTGTCTTTCTTTACATTTTCATTATGTAATCTCTATAATCTCTTTGTCTTATTCTATAGTACTTCATATTGCTTCCACCCCACCCACCTTTTATTTCAACCTTAAGCAAGCCGATAACTATTTGGACTCAAATGTTTGTTAACATAAAGGATACTTGAGTTACTTTTGGCTTGTACTATCTCTTCAGTTGTTTAATAGTCAAAACCGCTTCTAGAACTTACAGCTGAATGGCAAGTTAATTTACGTAGTTCCTGCTTCCATTTCAGTTTTCAGCAGACTACACCCCATTAGAATTGTTAATCCTTTTCCACCCTGCTACTGATTCTCTGTGAACTGAGTGAATTACATTTCTAGAATTTACTGCTACAGTTCTCTAACACCTTGCTCCAGCATTTTTGCTCTGGTCCACAACAATAGTTGTTTTCCTGGCAACACCTTTCTGATTGCAATTTATTATTACTTTGTTTGCCTTCTACCTAGGTTAAGGATAGAAAGATTATGGTATAGGTCATAGAGGCTATTAGTCAAATGTTAGTTAGATGTAGAAATTTTTGAGTGAATTTTAATACTCAAATTTCTTTTCTCAAAATAGGGAGGGGGAGAGTGAAAAATGTTTATGGAATGGCTATGCCACATGGGGTTTTTAATCTTGAACTACTGTCATATTTCTAATATTACCAATGTTGGATAAATAAGAGGTGTGTAAGAGTGGATAAGGATCTGAGGATTCTGTGTGTCAGAAATCACTAGAGATTTTGATCTGGGCTACATACATAGATAGTGATAGAAGTGGGACAAGAATTCTGGCATACATATTCTTTGACATCATTGATACATATGGCTGAACTTTTGGACAGCTCCATTTCCTTGGTGTCATTTTTCATCTTTTTTTTTTTTTTATTATTACTTCTTCCTCCTGTAGTGTTTTCTTGCCCACCCCCCCCCCGGGTAGTTGGGATCACAAGGTCCGGCTCGGTGTCCTGATGTTGTTGTAGAGACGGGGTTTCACTCTGGCTCAACTGGCTCAGGGGGGTCTTTAGCTGGTCTCGAACCTCTGAGCACAGGTGATCCACCCGCCTCGGCCTCCCACAGTGCTGGGACAACAGGCGTGAGCCACCACGCCCGGCCATTTTTCATTTTTTAATGGCCGACTCTTCTGCCAATGTCAAAACTTACATTTAAGCTTAATTTAAATTCAAAGTGAACTTTTTTTTTGCTATTCAGCTATTCTCAATTCATTTTCATGACAACGCAATCAGGTAGATAAAGAAGAAGGTATTATTGTCCTTGTTATGGAAAAGAAACTCAGGAGTTTAAATAACTTATATAAGAATATTTTTAGGCTAAGCACCTATATCTCAGCGTCTAGGGCACCAGCCACATACACTGGGAGTGGCAGGTTCAAACCCAGCCTGGGCCTGCCAAACAACAATGACAACTACAACAGAAAAAATAGCCAAACCATTTGATGAAAATATTTCAAATTGTATATAAAACCAGCATATTGTACCCCATGATTGCATTATTATACACAGCTATGACTTAATATAAAAATAAAAAGGGAATTAGGAACTGGAAAAAAGAAAAAAAAATAGCTGGACATTGTGGTGGGCACTTGTAGTCCCAGCTACTTGGGAGGCTGAGGCAAGAGAATTGCTTAAGGCCAAGAGTTTGAGGTTGCTGTGAGCCATGACCCCATGGCACTCTACCAAGGGTGACATAGTAAGATTCTGTCTCAAAATTTAAAAAAGATATTTTTATTAAGAGAAAGAGTTGAGCTTCAAACCCAAAGCTCCTTATAGCCAATCACATTCTTTCCACTATGTCATTCTTCTTATTCTGCTATGGTGACAGTTCTTTCTACTTTGTTAGCCAAGAAGAGGAGTCTGTCTATAAGGAAAGAAATGTGATTCCCTGCTCTACATATTAAAAATATTCAAGAAGAATCTTTTTGTTTGCTGTCTTGCTTGGTATAAAGAGTAAATATGTGATTTGAATTTTGTTTAAGCTGTATATGTACTCAAATAATTTTATTTCAAAAGTATGAATTTGTAAGTAAAGTCATTATAACATGGAATATGTCCTGCACTATAATAAGGACATTTGTTTTTCTTAATCATGGGACTTTATAAATAATTACAATCTCTGAAAAGCTGTTTTGCCTTTAATTTTAATTCTATCTGGACATTTTATTATGAACATTTTCATTCTTCAGTAAATTTGAAAGGATTTCATCGTGCATACCAATATATTTACCAACTAACTAGATTTATTAACATTTTAACTTCATCATATATCTATTTTATACTTATTTCATCATATGAGGTCTGGCAATTAAGTTCATAAACTTGCCACTGTGTGCTTATGTTGGCAGCACTGTTACAAACAACTCCATTTGGTTTCATAACCTTGGTATATCAGTGTCTTACAATTGTGTTCATGTCTACATATGGTGGTTTTGCTGAGTGGCGTTCATTGTTGTTGCATGTTTTTGTGTGCTGTCACTAGAATGTCAGAGCTTGAATTATAGCTTGATTAGAAGTGAAATCAGGAATGTATTAGTCCAAGGGGGATAATGCTGTAAAGAAAATGGCAGTATACAAATGTATTAAACTTTTTTCTGAGGGGAAGAAATCATCAATGATGAAGAGAGATCAGAGAAGCCAATAACAAACAGAACTAATGAAAACATTATTACAAAAATTCATTAAATTATGCATCTAAATCATCAGCTGATTGTGAGAAGCAGTGTAGACCATGTAAACATCGATAGAGAAATAGTTACAAAAATCTTAGCTGAAATTCTTGGCCAGCAACTCCTAGCTCAACAACACTATCACCACCTCACACAGCACTATCTGTTTAGGGAGTTTTTAGCCAGTAAATTAACAACTGTGTTGGCATACCCTCCCTACTCACCTGATCTGGCCCCTCAGATCTTTTTTCATTACTCAAAGATAAGGGAAATACTGACAATAAGTCTTTTTTTTTTTTTTTTTGAGACCCTGAGTAGAATGCTGTGGCATTATAGCTAAACAGCATCTTCAACCTCTTGGGCTCAAATGATCATCTTGCTTCAGTTTTTCTATTTTTAGTAGAGACAGGGTCTCGCTCTTGATGAAACTGGCCTGGAACTTCTAAGCTCAAGCAATCCCACCTGCCTTGGCCTCCCAGAGTGCCAGGATTATAGACATGAGCCACTGCACCTGGCCTAAAAGGAAGACATTTTAATGACATTCAGGACATCAAGGCTAATAACTACAACAACTTTTATGGCCATTCCAAAAAGAGTTCCAAAATTGCTTTGAAGAGCAGATACATGCTGGCGTGAGTACTTATCTTTCCAGGAGAGAACTTGAAAGATGACTGTAGTGATATTCAGCAATGAGTTATGTGGCACTTTTTCTAGGATTAGTTCACAAACTTAATTGTCAGAACTGAATTATTACTTCATATAAAATGTAGAAATCTTAGATTTGTTTTACTTTGTTATATATTGTATTTAGATGTATTATAAACCTCACAAAACGATGTTTTAATATTTGCTTTGAAGAGGAAATATTCTAAGAGGGATAATACCTAAACATTGTTTGTCTTTACTCAAATAGAAATCATACACAGTGCCCTTATTTCTTCCCGAGAGTTCAAGTTTCCATCTGGTGTTATTTTCCTTCAGCTAAGACTTCGAGCCTGGACTTTCTTTAGCAAATCTTATAATTTATAGACAGCAGTGTCTCTTTATTTCACTTTCATTCTTTTTTTTTGAGACAGAGTCTCACTATGTCATCCTCGGTAGAGTGCTGTGTCACAGCAACCTCGGTAGAATCACAGCTCACAGCAACTTCAAACTCTTGGACTTAAGCGATTCTCTTGCCTCAGCCTCCCAAGTAGCTGGGACTACAGGCGCCTGCCACAATGTCCAGCTGTTCTTTTTTTTTTGGTTGTTGTTGTCATTGTTGTTTGGTAGGCCTGGGCTGGATTTGAACCCTCCAGCTCCAGTGTATGTGGCTGGCGCCCTAGCCACTGAGCTACAGGCACTGAGCCTTCACTTTCATTCTTGAAAAATATTTTTGCTGGATGTAGAATTCTATATCAACACATTTTTTTTTCATTGCCATCTCCTATCCTCTGTAATTTTGAGTGCAAAGTTAGCGTTAATTCAAATCCTTGATTTCTTGTATGTAACATTCCATTTTTCTTTGCTGCTTTAAAGAATTTGCTTTTCGTTTTTAGCATTTTGGCTGCATCGTACCTAGGGATGATTTCTTCATATTTATCCTGCTTGCAGTTTCTCTGAGCTTTTTGAATCTGTAAATTTATGTCTATGTGTAATTTGGAAATTTTATGGTCATAATTTCTTCAAATATTTTTCTGCCCTGTTCTCTTCTTTCACATTCCACTTAGACTTTTTGATATTGTCCCACAATTCCCCAAGGCTCTGTACATGTTTATCTTTTAATTATCTGTATTTTTCATATTAGTAATTTCCACTATCTTCAAGTTCATTTACCTTTTTTTTTGTTTGTTTTTGAGATAGAGTCTCACTTTGTCACCCTTAGTAGAGTGCTGTGGCATCATAGCTCACAGCAACCTCAAACTCTTGGGCTCAAGCAATTTGCTTGCCTTATCCTCCCAAGTAGCTGAGACTATACGCACCCACCACAGCACCGGCTTTTTTTTTCATTTTAGAGGTAGGGGTCTCACTCTGGCTCAGGCTGGTCTTGAACCTGTGAGCTTGGGCAGTCCACCCACTTCAGCCCCCCCAAGTGTTGGGATTACAGGAGTGAGCCACTGTGCCCGGCCAAGTTTATTTACTTTTTATTGCCTCATTTCTACTGTTAATCCATCAATTTTTACTTCAGACATTGTATTTTTCTGTTCTAGAATTTCCATTTGTATATACTTTCTATTTCTTAGCTGAGTTTCCTTTTTTTCTTATTTCCAACAGGTATATTTTCTGATTATCTTATTGAACATAGTTATGATCACCGTTTTAAAGTTCTTTCTTGCTTATTCAGACAGTCATTTCAGATTTGATGTTCACTGATCTCTTTTTCTCTTCAGAATAGTTCATTTTCTTGGTTCTTTTATAGTCAATAATTTTGGAATGCATCCTTTTCAAATGTTATGTTTGAGTGACTCTAGATTCTGGTTTACTTCTCCAAGAATATTCACATTTTTGTTTTAACTCAAACTATAAATTTGTCACTTGGGCACTAATTTAAATTTCAGTTTATTTCTTTTCCTTTACCAGGCTACTTACAGGCTGAACCTACTACCCCTATTGCCCTCTGGTTCTTCAGGCCCCAAAGTCTGTGGTTTTTCCTGCCTGAGGTTTAGAATTCCTACATGGTACTACTGATCGTGATATATTCTTGAGCTTAAAAGAGAAACAACCCCTTCTGGTCCATTTTTCCAAGTGTCAGCTCTCCTCTAGTATAATCTACTTGTATTCACTTGGCCTTCAAGTAGGTTTAGTTTGGTTTGGTTTGTATGTTTTCCAGTTTATAATTGTTACCTGCAGAAGAGTCAACCTGGCACCTGGAAAAAGCTTGCTTGATTAATACCAGAAGCTAAATTCCCCATCATTAATTTCAAACATTTCTAATTTATAAATCCTTAATCTTATAAAGAATCATAATATTTATGAAATTTCCCATTTTAATCTTTTTATACCCAGTTGACTTTTAACAAACTTTGTTTTTTTATTCTAGACTTCTAATTCAATAGGAAATATTCCTGAGAAAGATGTAAGACCAAAAAGAGACACAGATATAACTTCTGACAGTGACTATGGAAACAGAAAAGAGTGTAGTAGAAAAGTTCCTCGAAGATCAAAAATCCCATATTATACCAAAACTATTCAAACTATTAAGCACCACGGTAAAAACTGCAACCCTGCTTTTGCAAGGTACTTATTTTAGTTTTAAAAATTCAAATAAGGCATATAAGTTAATATGGCTGGCTTATTCCTTAAAGTTAGTTATTTCATGGTAATATTTTTTCCTTTACTGAGGAAATACTAATTTGACTTTTTAGTCTTTGTGGCCCTAATATGGTCAGTCCATTCATCTGAATTTATATAAAAGGATCTCTCTCTCTCTAATTTGTGAAATTAATATATAAAACCAAAATTCTACTACATTCATTTACAATGGAAATAAGACTAAAACACCTGAGTCTCCATAACTAGCCTTTTCTCTCTGTGGGCATATCTCGATGGGAATGGAACCCAAGACCTACTCAGGCGGCACTTACTAAGCTTAGGCTCAGATGTGAATAAGATAGTTGTGTTTAATGCCATCAGAGTAAAAGAGTCTAATGTCTATATTTTCACAGTTAAGATCACCAATGACTTACTCTGGGATAGATACAGTCAACTTTTGACTCTATTTCTCCTTTCCTTTTTTAAATTTATTCTTTTGTTGTTTTAATTCTTCCATGGCTATTCAATTATTTTTACATATATACATTCAGTATATATTTGCTTATGAGGCATCAAATATCCTGGAATCTTTTTGGTCTTTTGCCTAGTAATAAAATCTATTTATTTTGATCCATTATGTGTTGATTTTAAACTTTTAACTCCCAAAGGATAATTATATTTACTCTTTTCCAAGTTCTTGGGTCTCATTTATCATAGTCTTGAATACTTAGAGTACTTTTTAAATTATTCTGATATACTCAAGAATTCTACCCTACCTGAGTATTTTGAATGCTAAATATTTATAGAGTCATTATTTTGTCAGAAGTCTTGAGGAACTCATTAATTAATCAACAAAGCACACCCTTTATAAAATGTATGAAACAGTTTGCCAGGTTTCTGTTGTTTTATTTAATAAATATCCTCTTGTAAAAGTTTTTTCCATATATGATTATAAATGTTAATGTTAGATAAAAGTTGTATAAGCAGTACACTTTCTTTCAAATGTGTACACCTTTTAGGCTTCTGGTTTCCCATATTTCTTGTATTTTTTTCTTTATAGTTGTAATCGTAAAATGAAGCAACCTTACTTCAAAGATTTATATGTGAGATCATCTTTAGCAAACTGTTGTATAATACCAGAATCAGAAGAGCCAAAGACTGAAATTATTAAAGTAGACCAAAGTACTTCAGAAGACAATACTTACCGGGTATGATTTATAAGATTAAGAAAAAAATGAATGTGAATAATCCTAGTTTTAAATACAAAGTCCCCCCAAAATTACATATGTTCTCATGAGTACAAATTATTGTTTCTAATTTTATTGGAGTGATGACAGTCCCTTCCTAAATTTCAGATTATTGTTTTTGTAATGTTTTTAAAGGAATAGAAATTGCACATTTATTTAAGATCAGCTTTAAGTAAATTCATTTGTTAACATGCTTGTGGAGGGAGAGACAGTTCTTTTTTTTTTTTTTTTGAGACAGAGCCTCAAGCTGTCCCCCTGGGTAGAGTACCGTGGCATCTCAGCTCACAGCAGCCTCCTGGGCTCAAGCGAGTCTCCTGCCTCAGCCTCCCAAGTAGCTGGGACCACAGGCGCCCACTACAACGCCTGGCTATTTTTTGGTTGCAGCCATCATTGTTGTTTGGCGGACCCGGGCTGGATTCGAACCCACCACCTTGGGTGTACGTGGCTGGCGCCTTAGCCACTTGAGCCACAGGTGCCGAGCCGAAACAGTTCTAATATTCCAAATTTTTCTTTCTTTCTTTTTTTTTTTTTAAATTAGAGACAGAGTCTCACTTTGTTGCCCTCAGTAGGGTAGCATCACAGCTCACAGCAACCTCCAGCTCTTGGGCTTTGGTGATTCTCTTGCCTCAGCCTCCCAAGTAGCTGGGATTATAGGCACCCACCACAATGCCCGGCTATCTTTTGTTGCAGTTTGGCTGGGGCCAGGTTTTGAACCTGCCACCCTCGACATATGGGGCTGGCACCCTTCTCATTGACCCACAGGCGCCACCCCAAATTTTTATTTCTTGAAGTGGTGATTCCTACCTTTTGGGGGGTGTTAGACCCTTTTAAATATCAAGGAAATCTAGAGGTCTTTTCCTCAAAGAAATATACTTTTATATACACTCAAAAAATGTTATATATAATTTCAAGATTTTCATGGACTCTCCTAAAATTGAATGTTAGACTCATTGATGGCAGGTAAGCAGTGTTAGAGAATTTAAAAATTCTTCAGGCTGGGTGCAGTGGCTCAGACCTGTAATCCCAGCCCTTGGGTAGGCTAAAGTGGGAGGCTCACTTCATACCAGGAGTTCAAGACCAGCCTAGGTGACATAGTGAAACCCTATCTCTAAAAATAAAGTAAAATAAAAATTCTTCTTCTATTTGCTTTAACAGTTCTTATATTGAGAAACTTACATTGAAGCGTGTTGATTCGTTATTTTATATTTTTCATTAACTTGCCCTTATTTGTTGAAGTTATGGTTATTCTTTTGATTGTACTGTGCACTGTTCTTTTGGTAATAGAATTACCTTTCAAAATATTGCATACCATTCAGGCTACTGGTTTCCATTATGGAGACTTTAATATTGATTAAATAATAATTATCATTATGACAATAATAGCAGGTAACATTTATTGAGGTTTTTTATTTACCAAGCACTGTTCTGACAGCTTTACTTCCATTAATTTGTTTAATCCTCACCATAGCTCTTTAAAGAGGTACTAATATTCCTGTATTATAAATGAGACAATTGAGGCAGTGAGAAGTTCAATAACTTTTCCAAATTCATATAATTTTGTTATTTTCTTTCAGTGTCTTGTTGAACAGCTAGACCAAGAGAGAGAAAAGAGATGGAAAGCTGAACAAGCTGAAAAGAAACTTATAGATTATATTGATGAGCTGCATAAACAAGCAAATGAAAAGCAAGATGTTCATAGCCTGACTCTGCTTACCACAGATAGGTAAGAGGAAAGTATGTAAACCTAAAGGTATTTTATAACTTAGAACTGAAATAGCTTAGTTTAAGCTTACCGTAGTTCGATCAAAAACAGCACATATGGTTTTAGTTTGATTCGAAGTAATTTTATTAGAAGATAAATATGGCTCGGCGCCTGTGGCTCAAGCGGCTAAGGCGCCAGCCACATACACCTAAGGTGGG